TTAGGGTGTCCTGGGCTAGCTTCTGTGTGCCTCGCAACTAATCCCTTCCTGGTCTAGTTAAAGGCAGACTATCTGCTGCAGTATTGGGGAATTCATGGGGAATTACCTCCTCATTGGCCTCCCTAGGGAATTGAACTTTGGTCAACAAGGTGGGGAGCAAACCCTTTGCCAACTAAGCCACAACTCCTTGGATGATATAATGCATTGTGACATGAAAGTAAATTGGTTTTTTGGGCATTAGTGTTATTTTACATCTTTATTTGTGATGCATGCTTAAAGTTAGAGCTGTTCGTTTATGTGTGATAGAGCACTTGTAGAAAAAACAAGTTTAGGAAAATTTGTGATAAAAATTCCAGTAATTATATCGTCAAAATTGCAAAAATAGAATTAGTATCTTATCATTCTGTTTCAAGTAGTACTAATTTTCTTTTAGTGGTCATATGGACAATAAGCAAGTGAGTTTTCTCATGAGCTTATAAGAGATTTAGGATTTTGGAGAAAATCGACCATGGTCGTATGTTATACAGTTAGGCAGGGAGGACCAGAGGAGTCTGAATTATCTGATGTGCTGGCACCCAACTGCTCACCTAGGCCCCTAGGCAGCTGAGCTAAATGGCAGAGCTAGGCAGCACCCAACACTTCCTCGTAAGTGAGAAAGCCATGTCCAAAGAAAGAGAGCTTTCTTGTTGGAACAAAAATAGTTGCCGCTTTCTTTTCTTTTACTCCCATCTCTTGATAATTTTCTGTTTAGTGGAAAAATCCCACATTGAGCATTTAACAAAGAAGTATTTGGGTTAAATACAAGGAGAGCTACTCCAACTATTGCCAATTGGTTTTAGGTTGGATGCAAGCCTTGTGTTGAAGCCCACATGCACAATTTTCACATTTTCTTTTCTTCCAAACAGGGGGTTTGATTCTCTGTCAGAGATCTGAAGAAGGTAAATAGGAGGGAAATAAGGGGTTTTATTTTAAGGGCTTTTAAAGATTTTATCTCTCTTCTTTTTTTTTTTTTATTTTAATATTTGATTTTATCTCTTTCTTTTCTATAATTCTCCACCTGTTTTAATATTTTTTAAAATATTCTTTTTGAATTTCATTCTAATTTCAAGTGTAGAAGCTACAGTAAGAAACAAAAGCTGCATAAAATATTACTACTAATTGAAGTTGATTAGAGAAATATTTTGGGACATTTGAAATTCAAGTTTCACTTCTTTTATCTTTAGTAATTTTTCTGGCATTTTTTTTGATTTTTTTCCCTTTTTTATGATTTTTTTAAAAGAAAAGAAAAAAGGAAATGTGCCTAAACCAACTAGGTGTGCATAGTGACTTGCAATAAGGTTTGATTTATACTTTTTGCCTTCTGTTCTTTGTACCCTCTGGCTACAAGTTTGCACAATTTTGAGATTTTACAAGCAACAAGCAACAATCAACCATGCATTAAAATATTTGAAGTTTATGCCCCTAATAGATATGCTCTCTCTCATTGTTGTGATACTTAAGTAATAGATTTATTTTTAGCCTCATGAGCTGTAAACATGATTCAACAGATAAGCAATAGGTTATGCTTTTATGGAAAGACATGGTAGATTCAATTTGTCCTTCCTCACACATTCTGGATTCATATTTAACTGATAGAACTGTGATTATCACTTTATTTTATTATTTTGAACGCTTATTTATTATTATATTGTTACTTTAGTTTTATGCCTGATATTCATATTCTATAATGAAATTGAAATTTAAATCTTTCTTTCAGAGTTGATGATTAGTTTTTGTTTTGCAGCAACATTGATTGATGGAGAGCCTATAATTAAGTTGCCACCAAAATCAATCCACTTGAGTAAGGTGGACTTTTCAACTGAGGAACGTGCGTTCTATATGCAGCTAGAAGCTGACTCACGCTCACAGTTCAAGGTGCATTTAATTCTGCATTACTTTACTTACCCTTTCCGAGGTGCTTTTTGAATTGTGTGTGACAGTTATATTAGTTTCCTTTAAATAGACTTTGTTCTAACATGCAGCTTCAAGCATTCGGTTCTATAAATCCCATATATTTTCTGTTTCAATTTTAAGTGAAGTTCAATCTCATGCTCATCTCTGGGTCAGAAAAATGAAAAAAATCTCATGCTCATTGGATGAACTAAAATACAGAGTTTGTCTTTATAAGGGTTCCATTCTATGTTACTGCTTCATGATGGTATATTATGCTTGCAAAACTGAGGAAACAAACAGCCATGACTCTAGGATTTTTCTTCTTCAGCATGTATAAAAATTTTGTGTAATATAAAAAATCAAGGTTACAATTCCTACTGTATCAAAAAAGAGGTTAGATGGAATAATTTAGATGATGGAATTATCACTGAGATAGGATAGTTCTCTTGGGTTACATAGATACCATTAATAGGTATTGGTGTGGAACTAAGATCTGGAACCCCTCCAAGTATTTTTATGAGTTAACTTATATGTTAACAATCTGATATAATAGAAAGTTGAACCATCTTTTCAAAGTGTTAGCCAAAACTGTGGACTTGCTTCTTTTCTTTTTGTGATTTTTAGTAATTTGGCTTTTCCTTTTTTCCCCTCAAAACCATATGTGAACAGTTCACCTGCCTTTCTTTTTCTGATTTACCATTGGTCCATTGCTTTGGTTTTTTGTTCATGTTTTATTTATCTCTAGCTTGTCTGTGAACAGTAATTGCTGGTTCTTTTTTCTTTGTTTTTGTCACCTTTTTTTTTTGGCAAAATTCCATCGTAATCCCTCAACTATTCTAGAAAGATCAATTAAGCCCCTTCAGGTAATCTGAGTCAAGTCTTCCTTCCTAATTTTGTTTAGTCAGATTTCATAAATTTGACACTGAAATGACTTATTCTCATAATAAAATGGATATTACAGCCCGAAATGGGAATTAGTGTTACCAGCAAACTTTTTGAATATTATAACTTGGTGTCATGATAATAAATCTTAGACTTGAAAACTTGGACCAAAGAAATATGAATTAATTCACATTCAAATCCATCACAATGTGGGACAAAGAAAATATTAGTGGTAGAAGAGAATAGGTGGAAGAATTGGAAATACTATCACTTTTGCAAGCTAGTTAATTACGTCTGTGGGTGTCCTGACCTGGTGTAATGTAGTTCAGCTATGTGAAGTGAATTTGTTATCAGATATTTTCTATAGAAGATGGTTTAAATGGGCATTTTTTGAGTGGTATTTCTACTTAACCAAAAGCCAAGAATTAGGAGAAGTGGGTAGCTAAAATTGAAGTTTCTCTAATTTTTTTTGGTACAAGAAGTTTCTCTAATTTTAATCTTAACTGGGTAGCACTCTTGGGTATAGTGAAATTTATGAAATTCCTACTTTACCCTTCCATAATTTACTGAATTACACATGAAAGCTATGCAAAAATCTTTATTTTATGATTTATCTTCATTCAAACCTACTTGTACATAAAACAACAATACAGAACTCTTTGAATCTAGCCTTTAATACTTTGACCCCGATTGTAACCCTTGCTTTTTTTCTTAAAATATTCCTTACTAGAAGTAGAAGAGATTCAAGTATTTCCATTTATTAGGCTGAGTCGGATACAGATATTAGGAGTTCAACTGAATTGAGAGAGAAAATTATGGATTATGTAAAACAATTTTTTTTTTTATAATATTATGTAAAACTTATGCAAGCAACATAAAAATTAATTAAGTGAAATAAGAAACAGAGCTTTACGTTGTTGACACCCTAATGAGTGGCAAAAATATATATATATATAGTGAAACTAATTGAAAATTGAAATGAAGCTTTATAAACCTTAAATATAATATTTCTTTATTGAGTGCTTAAATTGATGTCTTAGTTACACATTAAGGAAAAAGTTTCTACTTTTCCTCCTTCATCCAAATTCAGAAGGAATGATCTAGATTGTATTGAACTTCTTTCCAGTAATTTTAGTACTCTAATCATTTTTATAATGAATATTACCAAAAAGATTTTTACATCCCACATACTTTTCCTTTACGTTTGGCAAGTTTTGTTTCCAAGTTTTTTTAATATATACTAATTGAAAAGTTTTACCAAACAGTACTTTTTACCTTTATTAAAATTAATTGGGCAAAAAAAACTGTAAGTTATGTAATCCTTGCAGGCTAATGCTTTTGTTCTTATTTTACTTGCAGGCTTATGCTGCTGCTGGCACAGTGAACCAAAATTATGCCAATATTCTTTTGATGCTTCTGCGTCTGCGTCAAGCCTGTGACCACCCACTTCTTGTCAAAGGATATAATTCAGATTCTGTTGCTAAAGACTCAGTTCAGATGGTGAAGAGTCTACCCAAGCAAACGCTGATTAATCTACTGAATTACTTGGAAACCTCTCCCATCTGTAGAGCATGCAATGTAAGTTTCTCTTGTACCTGGTAATTTTCTGCAAGCAGGCACTTCTCCACATAGCCTTAATTTGGTTGCCACTCTAAACAATTGCCAAGAGTTGCTTTTGCATGACCATAGCATACTATGTTACCAATGAGATATAATGGGAGTTCCTTGTTCACTCCACCTTATTGATTGATGGTTCCAGAGGAGTGTCCGTACGTAGGGTGCTGGCACCATGAAATTAGGGTGTCAGTACTTATGAAAATTGGCAAAAGGCAAGTATAAGACATTCAAAATCCAAACAACCATGAAAGACAATAGAAAACCCTAAAATATATGAAAATCATTATTAGCATTAACATTTGATTTGGTACATCAAAATTAAGGAACTAGTTTAGCAAGTCTTCCATGTTGGTGGTTTATTTGAGGGAAAATGCTAACTTATCAACTTTCATTATGATTATTTTCTTTTGCTGTGTAACGATAAAAATAATATTTTTATTATAGTTTTATGATAGAATATGATAAATAAATAAATTACTTAATAGTAAAAATAGATTATTATTGTTGATGTTTGTTAGCAATATGGTAGTATATAAATATGTAATTTTTGGTATATTGGAAGTTTGCTGCCTAGCATTGTAGAGGTCTGAGCCTTTGACCTAGACCCACCCAAAATCAAGGTTTTATTGTTATAAAAATTGAGGATTGAGTTTAATTAATTAAGCATGAAAATTTCCTTAACTAAGTGTGATTTATCTCTGTATCACCATGCACATAGCACAAGGTACTCATAGTTATTGAAGCACCTTTGGTTCCTTAATGGATGAGAAAATGGGGAGGAGTGAATTGAGAAAGAAGGGGAGGTGAGGGAGAAAAGAGGAAGAGAGAATAAAAGAAAAAGTTCCCATTCAATTTTCTGTTGAAATTGAAATAATAAAATTTTTGGACAAATTTGGACATTAGTGGATTTTCATAAGCTCAATTGGATGAAGTGTAACATGAAAGTTCAATTGTTACCGTAGAAAAACCTTGAGGGGTTGGTTTGAGCGTTTTTCCTTAAAATATTAAATTACTTAAATAAAATTATATTTAAGTTATTTAAAATAAAACAATATACTCATAAGCATGTTTAATGAACAAATATTAAACATTTACTTTGTATCACATTTATTTGTATGGATACATATAAGCACACATGTTTGTTGTAGTAAAACCCTTTTTTTTTTTTTTTTTAGTTTTTAAAAGCTGTGCAATGGACAACTAGTTTTTACTCTTTCCTTCCCTCTTTTTCTTTTCTTTTTTTTTTTTCTCTTTCTCTTTCTGAAAGAAAAGAATGGAGAAAAAAAATGTTTTTCTCCATTGTTTTATTGTTTATCTAGAAACGAACACAGAAAACAAGTAATTGAAGTGATACCAAATAGATCCCTTTATTAGCCATGATTTATGATCTTTAAGAAAAGCACAACTAACACATAGCTAAGTTAGCTAGAGTTTTACTTATGGCTTCTCAAGAAAGATGTGTATTATGCTATTGCATTAATAACTTTTGACCCTCTTGTTTTCCTTTTATACGTTGGAAGTGCGCGTGGGATCTGATGTTATACATAAGCTTTGCTACTTAAATCCTGTCTAATTTTTCTAGTATGTGATGCTCTTTAACAGGATCCTCCCGAGGACCCAGTTGTTACCATATGTGGTCATGTTTTCTGCTATCAATGTGTCTCTGAATACCTGACAGGCGATGATAATACATGCCCTGCAGTTGAATGTAAAGAACAACTGGGTCAAGAGTTAGTTTTCTCCAAAGCAACTCTTAGGAGTTCTATTTCAGATGATCTTGAAGGGAGTCTCATGGATTCCCAGTTCTCTGAAAAGTCAGTTGTTCTACAGAATGAATATAGTTCATCAAAAATCAGAGCTGTTATTGAAATTCTGCAGTCACAATGTAAATTAAGAAGTCCAGAAAGCAATGGAACTTCTTCATCTCCTGAGAAGGCCCTCTCAGAAAGTTGTGATTCTTCTGTCACTGTTGTGAAGCACACAACTGTTTATTCAAACACACCAGCTGAAGGACCAATAAAAGCAATTATTTTCTCTCAGTGGACTGGTATGTTGGATTTGGTTGAGCTGTCTCTGAAACAATATTGTATTCAATACCGGAGGCTTGATGGCACGATGACATTGGCTGCACGAGACAGGGCTGTCAAAGACTTCAACACTGATCCAGAGGTTTGGCACTACCTCACGAACCTGTCTAAATTATCTTGAAATGCCTAATTTGTGTATACTTCATTCCCAGAAAGGAACCCATATTCCCAGAAAGGAACCCATATTAGGTAGCCTATTGCAAAATAGGATTAGATAGCATGCCTGCAGATGCACATGCACAGTCACTAACTATTGTTTGTAACAATTCATGAACAGTTTGCCTCAGTGATATTGCATGTCATTTCATTGTATCCGCTTTGGTTTTATATCCAATATGGCTAATTGTCATGCAGGTAACAGTAATGCTGATGTCACTGAAAGCAGGAAATCTTGGTTTGAATATGGTTGCTGCATGTCATGTTATCCTTCTGGATCTTTGGTGGAATCCCACTACTGAAGATCAGGCTGTTGATCGAGCCCATAGAATTGGACAGACACGCCCTGTTACTGTAACTCGGCTCACCATTAAAGACACAGTTGAAGATAGAATATTATCTCTCCAGGTATTTCTTTCCATGAGTGTTGGAGCTTTATCTGATAGGGAATGAAATTTTCTCACACTTTAATCAATTGAAATTGCTAATTTCCTTTTTTACCTTTCTATTTGAGTTTATTTGATGGACTTATAGTATCTGGAAGAATATATAATTTTCTGATATTTAGGATTCATTGCCTGATATTTGATCTTCTATGCAACTGCCTTGGCAGGAAGAAAAGAGAAAAATGGTTGCTTCTGCTTTTGGTGAAGATGCAAGTGGGGCTGCAACAACTCGCCTAACAGTAGAAGAGCTTAGATATCTATTTTTGGGGCCACAAAATCTCCCCTCAGATATCCGTTTATGATCTAGTGGATTTTCAGACATTTGGCTGCCTTCTTCCAGCATTTAATCAAAATTTGCCAGTCCATCCAGAATGCATAAAAATTGACATTTTTGATCAGGAAACTGCACTTACGGTGCCCTTTGATGCTGTGACTTGGGAGTGATGCTTGTTGCCATATTTGGATGGTAACTTGTGTGAGACTTGAAGCCCTCGGGTTTTTTTTTTTTTTTTAATATTCCCTAACAAAAGCAGAAATTGCAAAAGTAGGCAGCCTGTATATATTTTAATTGATTTTGCGGTATATATCAAGGTTTTAGTTAATATACTTGTGTCCTCTTGTTCTTGACCATAATACATAATGTTGTCAATCTTAATGTGTGCTTGTCCAAAACTTTTTCCCCCTACTAATGGATTTTATCTGGCTGGATATCAGAGTTCTAGTCACAAACTGACAATGTCCTGGTCTCACCCTCTTGCCTGTTGTATTTTTATTAACCTTGTAGAAATATATACCCTTTTTATTATAACATCAGGAAGATATGCACTAAAACCCTGGATGAATGCGTTGCGTCAATGCATGGCCAGAGGCTTAACAAGGAAACAAAAGAAGCTTTAATATGGTTCCTATTGTCATTGTAACTGATGGTTGTTTACTCAAAAAAGGTACAACTTCTACTTAAGAAACTTCTCTAGTTTGTCAATTAGAGATATCCTTAGTTTTGATGGAGAATGGTGATCAGAAAAAGTAGGAACTTTCAGGTTTCCCACCTGATCAGTTTTCATTAGGAATCCCCAGCATAGGAGTCGAGAAATATGTAGGACATGAACCTGTAGCAATCTCGCCCTCCTAGCTTTTTACAGTGACTGCACATGTTTTGTGTGGAGCACCCTTAACATCTCTCAGGGATTGTTAAACGTCCTCCCCAGGACGAAACAGTTCATGTACCTGCTCAAGTCCAATTAAACATTTCGTGCTTTTTCTGACAATAATATTCCCTAGCAAAGGCTGTTCTACCAATTGTATTTTCGTTATCCTAGACATGTGTGGTCTTCTGTTCTGGACTTTTTCTCCCAATTACAACTAAATCTCATTTTTCTTATACCTTCGTGTTCACATTGGCATTTGCTTAAAACGTAAAATAGTGTAAACAAACACAAGTCAAAAAAAATCATTGCATGTGGGCTTCCTAGAAATCCCTTTCTATGGACTTTTTCTCCAGACAACGTTACGAAATTGTCGTCTCATCTAGCCTGTTTCGATTGAGCCGAAGTGACAGAAAATTTTTTATCTTTTATTTTTGAGGTGCTATAACCTGAATATTTTAAAAACAAATGGCCCCATTTTGGGGCTTTAATCACTTAGAGACAAGCACTGACAGCTGACAAGAACTTTGAAACGATAATCACTTTTGCTTTGACAAGCTGTTATGCCAAAGTTACCCAAAGGAAAATGTGAAGTATATCCCTAATTTCTGCCAAGGCTTTCTTAGCTTTTATTGATTCCCCGCATTTCACAAACTTCACCAAGCAAATTCTTGCTTTTCTGGGGTGGGCCTCGAAAAGTGCTTGGCTCTTAGCGAAACCCTAGGGAAGAAGAGTCATTTGAACAGTACTTGCATTCTTCACTTGGCCTTCCCCACTCAAATTTGAACAGTACTTGCATTCTTCACTTGGCCTTCCCCACTCAAATTTGAACAGTACTTGCATTCTTCACTTGGCCTTCCCCACTCAATCATCCCTCCTGTATTTGTCTCAAAGCTCTCATCATTCTTGAAAAGAGGCAAAAGTAACCCCTCACACACTCAAAATTTTGCAGAAAAGAAAAAAAAAAAAAGTGGATGCCTTTGTAAAAGTCATTGCTTGAACACACCCTCAACATAGGTTACACCAAAGCTAGACCAAAACAGAGCACCTCTTGTGATTGATGGCTTCACATGTCCACCATGGTGGTGGTGGATCCCTCCGTTCTCATCATTTAATGTCACACACTATATACCTCGTGAGAAAGAGACTCGATGGAATCTCTCTTAACCCAAAAAAATACACGTTTTTTCAGTACGAATTGTATTATTTTGTTAAGTTTAGGTATTAAAATACTAATATAATATTAGCAAATAAATATATAAAAATTTTATTAAAAATATTTTAATAATTTTTATACTTGGATAGTAAAAAAAAAATATAACCTGTAGTGAAAAAACACATTTTTGAAACTGAAACTATCAGAGCTTTTGAAGATTATTACATATTCAAATCTTCGTGTTCCTTACCGTACACGAGTATCAGATGGTGACGAACATCAGAAATAGATAAGTGTATTGGGGGTGTTAATTAAAAATGGAGTCCGCAGAATTAGAGTTTATTAATACACCCCAAAAGCTTCATCTTGGATACTTTAATGGTTTAAAAAAAGGTTGCTCGTATCCCCAAGCTAATGAAATCCTTCCATGTGATTCTTTTGACTGCCTGCAGATTTTTCTCTTGGGAATATTTGACTCCTCGCCCCTTGCCCCTTGCCCCTTGCCCCTTGCCCCTTGCCCTTGCTGCTTTATTTTATTACCTTACCTTTACTGCTACTTTGCGTTTTCTTTATACATAATAACATCATATTGTTTTTACATGCATACTTCTGATTTTTGTTTTATTCTTTTATTTATTTTTTTGCATTTTACCCCCTCCCCTCACCTCCCCTTCCGTATTCCAGTCTGTTCAATAAAAAAAATACTTTTTTCATTAGGAAAAAGGCAGAACCTTTGAACAAGATTAGTATCACTAATAGTGATGACACATGAATATACTTAGAGCTAGAAAAATTCACTACTTTGCCTGTCTTTACATCATGTTCTCAGCAGGTGTTGGGACCAAACCCCACAAAACCATTGGCTCCATCAAACGAAATTTGGATGCCTTCTTGCTGTATGTTACCTATTATCGAGAGTCCCGAGGCTGTGGGTGCAAAAGCAAAACAGAAAGTCCCTATTTCGTCTACTGGGATGAGAAAGTTGGACGCAGGTAGGGTCAGGATTGGTCCCCCCTTGAAGTAAAACGACACAGTCGGAACCCGGACGTCGATGAACCCGGATAGTTCGTAACATGTGTCGAATATGGACACTCCGGAGGTCCGGGGGAGGTTGGCAGTTTGTGCGATGAATGTGTCGCGGAAGGCCTGGTAAGCAACCGTGGGGAGTCTTGTGACGGCGGTTCCAGTGTCCATGACAACGCCTCCAGTGCCTAGCTCGGTTAGTTGGAATAAGTCCTCCGATATGGGTACCTGGATGCCCCCGACTCCGAGACCTGAAAGCCCAACGTAGTAGAAAGTTGGGTACTGTGGGTTGCGGACCAAGGGCACCCACGCAGCGCCCACGGGCAATGCCCTGCGTCCGAACACCAATGATCCGGATGCCCGACTGCCCAATGTCACTAAACAGTAGCTGAATGCACCCCCAATTTGACCGCCCAATTGACCCACAAACGACATGGATCCTCCCCCGAGACCCAGCAAGCCGGCAGCCCCAGTAAACATCCCCTGGTTCATATGCCCACACCCAATGGCTAAATCCTGGACCACGGTTTGCCCAAACGTAAGTGTCTCCAGCGCAAGGGTCCCCTTTGTGTACGAACCGTCACCATACATGACCTCATACCAGCACCTCCCAGCGTGGCAACCGTAATTCTCGATCCGGTTACAGACGGTTGAGCTACATGACACCCCGGTGTACGAAGCCGAGGCAGTTGGATCGAATAATGGGTCGAACTGTTTATAGCATTGGCTACAAGGTTTACACTGAAGCCACACTATATCACTACCGGAGTCGATTACCATGTATTGACTCCTTGGAGGGCTGCCGACTCCTATCCTAACAAAGTACTCACCACTTCCTTGGTCCATCCCGGAAACCACCTCCGATCCAAAATCCTCCTCCTTGTAATTGGTGTCGCCGCAACAGGAGAGACGACGAACGAGGAACGCAACCCTTCTAACATCCCTTTCCATGCGTGAATGAAACCGATGGCTATGGTTATGAAAGCGGTTGTTGGAAGGCAACTTATCTCTGTGATCTAGTTTCATCTCCCACTTTTTCTCAGTTTCACTTCCATTATGGTTCTTCAAAAGCTCTTGGTGTCCGGGTTTAGGCTTGATCTTTATCCCCTCAAGTGTTTCTCTGACATTGAAGAGTTGAAAATCAGGCAAAAAAATGGATTTAGTTGTGGTGCTTGTGGCGGTGGTCGTAAAGAGGAGGTGGAGCAACACCACCGTGAGTGGCAGTGCTTGGGAGGTCATGATGGAGGGGCAAGGGGTTTGGGAGTTGGGGCTTCGAGGGGTAGGGAGGGGAAATTTATGATGATGGAGCCTAGGGATGCGTAGACGGAAAAAGGTATAGTACATATAGCGTAGTATCAACTATCAGGTCTTTCCTTTACTAAAAATAAAATAAATAAAATCCCTCCTCACCACTTCGAAGCTTAGGCTCGTTTTTGGGAATGTTTTCTTGTGTTTTACTAGCAGCGTCTATTTTCTTTTTTTTACTGTCGAAAAATATTCTAATTAGTATTTTATATACTATAGTAATTTAAATTAATATTTTATGCGTCATCTTTCTCAAAATGAT